CATCACCACACTGAGTTCACCAACTCATGCTCCGCAGCTCAACATAGATAGGTGCTTACACCCACACAACTTATGCACCACCACTCCTGATGTAAGCTCTCACAGGCAAGGCACTAGTCTCAGCACATATACACCCTTAGACAGTCTTACTCCGGCGACAATTAACTGATGGGTTTCCACTGGAAAAAAATTACTCGGTACTCCACTCGCCATCCCACAACTCGAATCCTAACATGACTAAAATTAGGACGTCATACACGGGTATCTCGGTACACCATCACATCATGTCACGCGGTCTTGCCTTTACCAATGATCTTCCACTTACACAACTCGAAACCTTGAAATACTCCCATCTCCTAATTGAAACACGGAGGAATCGTCAACGACTGAATACACGTTGACGAAAATCCAAAGCTCCATCCTCTACTGATCACCGCCCATGGGAACTACTCATACCGACTCTAAAATTTATTGATAAACCAACTGCTGCCCTCTTCTGGAGTATGGATCACAATCTATACCGATACCCACAAACCTCATCAATTGCACCTTGAACTTAGCGACCCAACCACCTCGAACTCAACATTTGCAAACCCAAAAAATCCCTGGCCACAATAAATTCTCTTACCAACGGCCACCTGCCGTGGATTCACTCATCCTTTTTTAAGAACATACACATACATCATCCCACCTTGCACCTCGCCTCATCCACCAATAACCTAGGTCTCATGTGTCCGCTCCGCAGATCTCCATAACCAGTGTTCTAACCGTACTTGAACGGACTGCTGATCTTCTCAATAAAATACCCAGTTCTCCCCCACTCAGGGTTCGAACCATCACCAATTGGCATACCAACAATCCACTCCATCGACTGTTTCACCAGGTGCATCACACTTGACTCTTGGAACGTACCACGTAATCACATCGCTGATCTTTCCGACGGAAACCAGGTAACTCCAAATATCCTGTAACTCCGACAAAAATCTCAGTATCCCCTCGACGTGACTGCCTCTAGTCATCTCGAAGCCTCAGACCGATATCCCGCCGGACACCTCGACTGTTCCGAAAATTTTGACCCTCAGTCCGGAAATAATGCACTATCACACACCTCGTCTCTGACTCATCGACCAGCCTCCCAACACGGGAATCATCATCCAAGCACAAGACCTCACTTTCACAACCGATACACAACATAACAACGAGGGCCACCGCCCCGATGAATTCCTCTTGACCACCTGAAACTGCTGCTAAAATCATGCCACACTAAAAAAGGAACCTTCCTGGGTCTCTTCCATCTCAGCCTCCACTAGTGACTCCATGGTACAAAAAATACCTCACAGTAGACAAACTGCGTAAATACTTTGATGAAAAGGTCACCACCAATGCTACCCCATGGGGTTTACCTCCAAACTCTGAAACCGGAAACTCGATATCTCCTTCGCTTCTCCCAGAAAACGGGAACAACATAACTCTTGCCACAAAAGGTGACGTCTCATCCATCAGCCAATGGCTCGACTCAGACCTCGATCCTCCAATAAGCATCATCTCTACTCATCCCTGAGCCTTGCGACTCCAACTAACATCTCCATAATAAAATCCCTCGGAAACGAACTCGATTTCCCTTTTAAGGTATATTCCATTAAAACTTGCTCGACATGGCCCTCTGGCCCCACACTATATCATCCAATCTCAGACTAATCAACCACCACGAGACTACTGGTAAAACCAGAAGCACTAACCGCCACGAATCATCGTACTCGAACCATGTGATCACCCCTCAATCTGCTATGAATCATGGTACCCGAACGATGTTATCTCCTCTCACTCTGCTATGAATCATGGTACCCGAACCATGTTATCTCCTCTCACTCTGCTACTTAGAACATCTGGAATTATCCCTATTTCGAGTACGGGTCCTCTGCTTTCAGTAGTACGGGCCCATACTACCTGCCACATCTACCCATACTTCCCACACGGATTGTCCCAGATTTCCTAAGTAGCTGCTCAACCTTCTCGATCACTAATCTCGTTGAACCTGGTCGTTCCCTAGCGAATACTCTCCTCTATCAGCGTACCCATCTGACTAAGGTCACTTCCTAGGCTCTTCCTAGGTTCTCTCACCTCTCTGCCATCAGCTGCTGAAGAACTCCTTATGATGTCAGTCATCTACCTCCTGAATATCGTCATATTCACTTAGTAGCTGACTCCCATCATCAAGATTTCCACAAAGCATGAAGCAAGCAACATTTGAGCATCGAATAATCTTTACTAGCACGTAAAACCACTCTAGGTTACCACTCCAGGTGCTCTACTCACACCCAAAAGGTATCACCAAACTTAAGCAACTCTACCCCCTCGCGAGTATCTAACTACTCTCTCGGTAGGCTCCTCAATGCTCATCTAGGTATCTCTCCTAGATTACTCCTCTTCTCAAGTTCTCTCTAAAAGATCTCTGCTGGATACTCTTACTCCGCACATACTCAAAGCACATCACAGATAGCAAAATTCCTAGCCTAAGGCATCACAAATCAGGTAACTCTAGCCCTAAAGTATGAAATACCTAGCCTATCTTATAGCATGCACCACTAACATCTCAATAATAACTCATAACACAAATAAGTAAAGGTAATTTGGGAAATCACCGTTCGGGCTCTGGCTGATTGTACACACTGGTCCTTCTCGTTTTTCTCTTAGAAACTCTTGCTCGTTTTTAGAAAAATCATTTCTTTTGAAAATTTTCTCAAATCCTCAGTTTGAGTCCAGATATACCCGAAGGTGCATCCGAATCCCTCAAACCAAGGCTCTGATACCAACTTGTAACGACGTAAATTTTCAAGTAAATTTTTCATTTTAAAATCACATAATTCTCATAACACATTTCACAAAATCGCATTTGTTAAGTTTACAAAACATAACCCCATAATTTTTTAATTTAATAAACCAGGATCCTTGAAACATAACTCTTCCTCTTTTGTGTACAATCAAGCCGGTGCCTTCCTGCAACTCTGAGAAAAACCTGAAACACATATCACATAACACGGTAAGCACGAAGCATAGTGAGTTCCCCAAAATACCACATACACACATTAGCCACTCAAGGCCATAAATCTGTAAGACCCTCCGGTCACTGTGTCTCAGTGGGACCCTCCACTCCCACAACTCTGATAGACCCTCCGGTCCTAACTCTGTGGACCCTCCGGTCCTAACTCTGTAAACTCTGAGTAATACACAACATAAATCACAAAGAAATAATGCAGGATATCACAATACACAGATAAGGACATAAGACATCTCAGTCACACAAAATACCACTCATGGTAAAATATAGTGAGAAGACTCACCTCAGATGATGAACAACCCCTATAACGCTGTTGCTACGCACCGACCTCTAACTCTGAGCCAAATCCACAAACAACCCAATTAGGAACTAAGTCTCGACTCTCACTCATTTGGTCTAAAGGAAGTCCACTAACCAGACCGTGAACAACCTTAAACCCATTGGGCCCACCAAGGCCCAATAATGAATGGGATTTCCCGAGGCCCAACTCTCAAGTCCAAGTGACAAGCCCAACTCAAGGGCCCAAGGCATAATTATAATATTTCCTTGCTCATAGTCTCGAATTCACGAGCCCAAAGATTCAGGCCCAACCCTTAAGGCCCATATAAGATCTAGCCCAAAAAGCCCACAGTGAAGTTACGCGGGGTGTACCTCTCTTGGTACGCTCAGCATACTCAAGCATGTATGAAACTAATCGGGGACACCAACCCTATACACGGGGCATACTGGAACTTACGCTGGGCGTACCCCCAGTTTTGCTTAGTCCATTCTCTTGGCCTTAACCCGTTAAGACCTTAGCTCATCTCTCAGATCTGAACTCCCTAATAGCTCTTACTCCATAAATTCAGTGACTTTAAGCCTTTGCATGGCTGATTTGGTCACAAACACTCAAAACACTTATCTCTTTTTCTCATGAAGCTCATATCTCATGCATGACTGGATTCTAACATCTGAGATTGGATTTTTATGACTTTACTCCACAAAATACACTAAAAGGGGGTTGATCAAGGTCTATAGAGCTCATTATCTCATAAAGTCTCCATCTTTTGGGATAAAACACTAAAATACTCCATTAAAAATTGCACAAATCAAAAGAGTGAGAAAGCTTGACGCTTTATACCTCTATATGAAGCTCGTAACACAGATATGCTCAGATCCAAGGGCCTGGACTCTCACTCCTTCTTCTCCAAAGCTTCTTCTTCACTTCAAGAACACAATAATTCACCCACAAGCTCTTAAATGCACTCACAAGCTATAAGAACGAAGATTTAGGGTTAGAAGGGTTTGTTTTCTGAGAATGGTGGCCAGGAATGAGGCCAAAACATTCTTTATATATGGACACTCCTTAATTAGGGTTTTTCCTTCTGTTCCTAGTACGCCCAGTGTACTAGGTGGCTCTGCTTAAAAGTCACGCGCATGAGTACGCTAAGCGTACACACACGTACGCCCAACGTACTCCGCTGCCACCTTTTTCAATTAAAAGACTTATCTTGCCCAATCTTGAAACTTTCATAGCTCCCTTGTTATAAGTCCATTTCCCTTGAACCTCATATCAATGGAAAGGTGACGGGAAACCCTACTCTTCAAGCAACTCATCGCAACCCCGAGACCTCCTCATGCCCGGTTTGCAGCCCACGAACCCTAATCACGGACAATCCGAAACAGGTTGTTACAAACACCGTTATGTGAATTTTTGACGCTTTCAAGACCAAAACAACCGATACTGAGTCCGTGTCAGGCTTAGGGAAGCACATCCACCCATTATCTTCACAACGTACACAATCTTTACTGTCAAAACCGAACCTGCTCTGGTCCCAGAAAAGTGTTACCAGAACAAATTGGCGAGAAAATATTTGTTGGATAAATGAATTCTTATCTATAATAAAGGCAGACCCACCGTTTCGATCTCCAGCCTGCCTTTCCAAGTCTTTTCGTTTAAAGGTTAACTGTTGCGGGTAAATATAAAAATCAGAAATGGTAGATTGGCAATAACTTCCAATGCCAAACCAATTGCGTGTGTCCTTAACTGTGTCGTTGCCACAAATAGCCGAACACCGGCAATATCCTCATTCTCCTCCATGAGGGCAACACTGCCACACCCCTCAAACACGAATATGTTATAAAATCCAGAAAAGTAGAGACGAGTTCTACTTAAAACAAGACTGTTATTCTGGAATGTATTCTCACATTCAGAAATTCTAAGGACATTAACAGTGACCATTTGTTGGCTTGCGTTTACAGCCAACACCTCCACGTTGTTGAGCGCAGGTAGATACTGCGTGGAGGAGTTACAATCAACATTGAAGAATTCGGCCCCAGAAGAATTCTTATTGATTCCAAAAGGGTATGGAATCCTGACATCTCCACATGTTTCATCTTCATCTTCATATTCATCTTCATCCTCATCTTGTGATGTTGAAAAGCTTTCATTCCACGAGAGTGATATTGGAACAAAAGTGTGATCTCCCACAACTAATTGGCTGGGAAATCTTCTCTCATAGTATGCATCCACCAAGAAGACAGACCCACATCCATCCTGTCCTTCCAATTCTGCTATATTAAAGGTAAACGACCGGAGATAATCAGGAATTGTAGTTCGGCAACAACCATTGCCAAAACACGTGTCTAAGTTGGTAACAACGTCTTCGCCACAAGTCGTTGAACAACCAGAGACAACAACTCCATTGTTCATGATGGCAATAGGGCCGCATCCTTTATATCTGACTATGTTACGTGATCCAGAAAACCAAAAGGGACTTTTGCCATGGATGGTGCTTAGGACAAGACTGCTATTCTTGAGTGGATTTTTGCAATCAACTTTAATTACGTACATATTTACAATGACCAGTGGCGGACGCAGAGTGTTTTAGTAGGGGTGTCCCTCGTACTTCAGGCTGGTGCACCTAATAGAAAAAACCAAAAAAAAATAAAATTACACTACGTGTAGGAAATTGAGCAGTGGACCGAGACCCCCAATGCTCCACTAAGGTCCGCCACTGACAGTAACCGTACTGTAGCTTGTACGCAACACTTCCACGTTTTTAAATGCAGGTAGATACAATGTCGATGAGTTACAATCGACATTGAACCATTCGTTGGCAGAACAGCTTCTTCTAATCCCGAAAGGGAATGAAATACCGACACTCCCACACTGATGGTAGCATCTTGTGCCTTAAAATATATGAGCTTCTGTTAATGTTTTTCCAAAGGAAATGAAGATTAGTAAATGCAAAACCTGTAAGGGCGGCATTTTGTTTACAGCAAAGAGATTACAGAAGTGGAGTGATGGCAATCAAACCACAGTGAATTTTTATGCTCAAACCTGCTGTCTCGTTTGATTATTTAAGTCAACGGGATGCTGCTTTAATTTTGCCTCCTTTAATTTCCTCCTCAGGAAATGAGTGGGTGAGACATTTTAGTGCACAATATTATAAACTAGGTGTAATACCTATGTATTACATGAGTTCATTTAAAAAAAATAAATATAAAAATTCTAAACATTTGAAAAAGTTTGAATTTATAAAAAAATATTCAATTATTAAAATTAAAGTGTTTTTTCTTTTTTAAATTTAAATAAAAAAAACTAATGAAGTTTTAATTTAGAAATGTTTAAATTATAAAGAAAGTCAATTATTGAAATTGATATGCATTTATTATTACATTTATTACAATTATTACATTTAAATATTATGTGAAATTTAATAAAATGGAAAACCCAAAAAATGCCATGTGGAAAAAATTTAATTGAAAATAACCACAAAATGACATGTGGTCAAATCAATGAGAGTGTGACATGTGGCAAAAATATTTTCATTTATTATAGTAGATTTTGCCTCCTTTAATTTCCTCCAATGGAAATGAGTGGGTGAAACATTTTAATGCACAATATTATAAACTAGGTGTAATACTCATGTATTACATGAGTTCATTTAAAAATAAATAAATATGAAAATTCTAAACATTTGAAAAAGTTTGTTTATAAAAAAAATATTCAATTATTAAAATTAATGTGTTTTTTCTTTTTTAAATTTAAACAAATAATTTAGATAAAAAAAACTAATGAAGTTTTAGTTTAGAAATGTTTAAATTATAAAGAAAGTCAATTATTAAAATCGATATGCATTTATTATTACATTTATTGCAACTATTACATTTAAATATTATGTGAAATTTAATAAAATGGAAAACCCACAAAATGCCATTTGGAAAAAATTTAATTGAAAATAACCACAAACTGACAAGTGGCCAAATCAATGAGAGTGTGACATGTGATAAAAAGATTTTTATTTAGTATAGTAGATGCTACACCAAACAAATACTAAAAATTAAATACTATTTTCCTTTAAAATAAGAAAAATATGATATTTTCCTTTTGGTTTAACATTAGTCGAGATGAATGCTGAGAGTGACAAATTTCTGATATGCAGTTTTTCCTTGGAATTTAGCGAGGGCTATGCTTGATAAATTTGTTTCTTAATTAATTGAATTGTAGAGAGAAAGATTTCACATTTTTTATTAAAAGGATCTACATAGTTTAATTAATGAAATTGTTCGAATGATATGTAATCTCCGGTTAACATTTTTTTTTTTTGAAACCGGCGAATATATTAAAAACCCCACATCAAGACAATGCGAGTGAAAAGAGTCCAAATTATGAAAGTAAAAACAAGAGAAAATTACAAACAATGAAAATGACATAGATTCCATACTCTTTAATCGACTCTTTTGAATGAGATCCTGTGTTTGCACCAAATGAAAGTTAATGACGTTATCATTTCCACTATATTCACCGGAACAAATGGTATGTTATCGAAAACCCTTTTGTTTCTATCAGTCCAGATACACCACAACACTCCACATAGTATCACATTTAGCAAACTTCTTTTCTTATTGCACCTAAACCATCGTGATATGAAAAGTAACATATTCTTCACACACCTGACTTCACACCAAGAAATAATCAAATCCATAACAGCCTTCACCATTAGACATGAGAGCAAAATGTGATCACCAGTCTCATCCTCAAGATTACATGCACCACACATCATAGATGGAATTGTAATCCCCCTTTGTCTTAACACTACTACTGATGTTATTCTTCCCTGCTTAGCTCTCCAAATGAAGCATATAATGTTAAATGGGATCACCTTACCTCAATCGAATGGTCCATCATTGACAACATGGCCTGCGAATTCAATTCGTTCGCGTAACTGGCTCACAATAAAGCTATATTGGAATGAGAAGTTGACTTATAATGATACGATGTCCAATGACTATAAAAATGTTCGATGAAATAAATAAAACTATTTAATATAAATTAACCGACAAATACTAAATGTTTGTGACAATATCGTCCATTAACTATTTGTAGATTTCAAATGCATTATATTAATATAATACATTTCTATAAAAGTAAAATAATATTATAACAATTTTTAAAAAATTTATAAAATTAAATATACAAATTTATGTGAAAAAAAAAACAAATTGTACAACCACATCTCATTCAATGCCAAATAAAAATTAGTAATTATTATTGTAAACTAGAAATCGTCCTCCCCACTTTGTGGGAGACGCATGCAACATTTTGCTTACTATATTATAGTCACACAAAAGGAAAATACGTCTATTCATCATTTTATCGTTTTGTGTGCAAGGTTTTCGGAGGGACCAAACTTGCCGACATACAAATCAAGGTACGAAACCTACAATCATGGCAATATACAAAAGTTGAATGGTGGAGATTGTCGTTGTTCAAATTTAAGGGGGTAAAAAGGACACTTTACAAACTAAAAGGGGGTGGAAAGTGTGATTTTACAAACTGGGGGTGGAAAATGCCATTCAACAAAATAAGGGGGAGGAAATTACCAATGTATAAAAATCTAGGGAGCAAATCTGCCAACATAATAAACTTTAGCCAAAATATGAAATAAGAAAATAGGTTTGTAGCAAAAGTCTAAAAGTCCAAACTATTGAGACAAAAGTTACAAAACCAAAAGTCACACAATGGATATAAAACCATTGATGGTAAAGGGATCCAAAATGTGTTGTGGGCAATCTAGAATCAATGAAATTTGATTATTCCTAACAATTTCCAATTTTAAGATATATGCAATTGTGTATCCATTGTAATTTTTGGAGTGTACAGGGAAGAATAAAATAACAATATAAAATAAAATAACACTATTAGATCGTTGCAAACAAAAAAAATATATTTCGTTATTTCAAGCTTTTACATCGACATTGCAGGTTACAAGTAAAAGGCTGCGCCTCTAATAAAAATGAATTTTATCAATAAATTTAGTATTCATTTTAATTTATTGACAAATACTTTTGAAATTTCAAGTAGTTGGCATATATTAAATGATGAAAGGACATATGCGATGTTTTTTTTAACCATAAATGTGTATGCGATATTTTTTAACATTATAACCATAAATGTGCATATGATATTTTTAACATTATAACCATAAATGTGCATATGATATTTTTTAACATTATAACTATTAATGTGCATGTGATATGTTCAACATTATGACAATAAAGGTGTGAATACAAATTTCCAACCACATATGTAGTCTGCAATTGAATTTTTAAATACATTATAGAGTAAGAGTGGTATCGCTCCATTTTGTAATTGGTCTTATTAAAATTTTATCCATGCACAAAAAATAAAGATCATCTTCCGATATATATTTATCATGAAAAATGATAAATATAATATATTTTAAACCAAGTATAAATATATTAAATAAAGAAGAAAGTTTTATATAGACATAGCGGTAAACGAGCAACAAGCTGTACCGCAACCCCTTTTTGGATAACAAAATTAATTATTTTAAAAACAACATCTATTAATCTTGGAGTCATAACATTACTATGCATGACCCGTTGGACTCTATTGAGTAGCTTCACAGCTTCTGACCCAAGGAAACCGAAAAGTATCAAATGCAAATAGTATAAACGTGTGTTAATTTTCCATGCATGCTTTCTCATGTTTTGCCACTTTGTTTAATGCAGCTTTTAAAGCAGCTTGCCCCACAGTGAAACCCTCGCTCCCCAAGCCTACAAGAGGGGAGACCCCTTTTAGTTCCATACATGCATATTTTCCTCCAACCCATCCAAATACTAAAACATCAGCTGATCTAAGTGTTGATCTTCCTTCCAATGGGTCAGTCAGAAAATCCGCAGGTGCCTTTTCTTGGCAGAAACCCCAGCGCGCCTAAATATGTCGAAAAGAACATTCCTAACCAGATCGTGTCGGTACTTGAAACCCAGGAGCTCTTTAAAATGAACTACATGCTCCCCAAAAGGAGTCCAAGCATGCCTAGCGACAAACAGGGCAAGTCTCGTCAGCCAGAAATAAAGGGATCATAAGGCGATAATTGAGGATGACACGATACTCCACTGGCGACATATGTGGCCAAGACCATCAATATGAATAGTCATAAGAAAATCATGAGTATGTGGGGCCCTTAGATACTCAAAAATTGCTTTCTGCCTAATCGTCATGTCGAAGTGAACTTCCATGTCTTGGATAATTTTACTAAAAAGGGCACTCGCCAATGAATGTTGGGCTTTTGGAGTGGCGATGTCCTTATTAGTAAAACCGCTGAAATCAAAGCCTGAAATCGTATCATGAAGACAAGCCAAATCACAAACATAATCTGAATCCATACCACATATGTCGTTATTTCGTAAGATGTGGTCTTGTAACACCCACGATTAAGCTCGTGAGGCCACAAAAGCATATGAGGAAGCCTCCACTGCTGAGTACAACCCCAAACCACCGAGCCTAATTGGTAACAAAGACAGTCACCATTGAAGGTCCCTAAAGAACGGACCCCCAAAAACCACAATGTCCTCAATCGACCCATGTAACCCATTATTAAAACACAAAGCAACCTCTTCCATGTGAACGGGTTGGCATGTTCTCAGGCCAAAGAAAAGTTTGGCGATGCCCATGCAAGATCGAAGCAAAAGGAGTTCACTTTGGGGGTCATGTAACTGTGGTAGAAGGCGCATCAAATCAACAGCCTTGGCAGCCCTCTTCATGGCTATCCTACTAATAAAACCCACATCTCTACTAGAAGCTCCCCCAAGAAGCTTCACCCCCACCGACAGTCGCCCAATGTCAGTAGGGAATAAACATGTACGAAGCTTCCTACCATCGCATGAAGGTCAAAATAGCTCAGTTTTTTTGATATTCAGCTCAAGTACTAACCCTGGGCCTGCCACCATAATGATGTCCAATACTCTAGCCACTTCCTCTGAATCTCCAATGACGGTCACATCATCGAGGTACCAAGCATAAGAAGAAGCTTGCAATTGTCTCTAATTTGATGTATAAGTGGGTGCAGTACAAGAGCAAAAAAGAAGTGGTCCCAAAGGGTCGCCTTGCTGGACCCCAGTAGTGGACCAAATATACTTATCTCCCAAATACAACCTTGCTGCATGTCCATATAAGAATTCGACCCATAAGGAAATGGAAGGCAGCAGGTATTACATTATCTATAAGGACAAATGATAGATGTTGGAAATGGTTAATCTCCTAAGAAACAATAAAAAGAAACGAAGGCTTTTAGGGCAATTTTCTATTTCATTACTTAATCAAAATGTCATTATAATAGAATAAATAAAAGCATAAATACCCTCCATTTACCATTATCTGCAATAATGTCCCTATTCGTCAAGACATGACACAACAGATTGTACAAATGACCTAAATACCCTCCTCATTGAAGAAGCATGTTTTAGTATTTTTGTATGAAAAGATGTACCTTCTTTTGACATCAGGAGAAGTTGAACACTTTGTCAATAACGACACACTCCATTTACCATCCAATGCATCAAGATACATCAGTGTTGCAACCAACAACTTCGGCTGCAAAAGATTGAGTTAGCCTCATACTTTCATTTAAAAAAATTTGAAATTTGTATTTTGGTTTTCTTTTTTCTGCTGACCTCTTCAGGGTCAGTATAGTCAATTCCATCAGCCTCGGAAAGTGCCCATATCCCGATAAGCCTCCTGAACATATCTTTATAAATTTACAAAGAAATCTAAAATGCTAAAGAGAAAATGTGATTTATAACAGACTGGAATAGCAGTAATGCGATCAGTTGACACCTCACCAGGGAAAAAGTCTAGAACTTTCCCATTATTTTCAAGTGTTATTTGACCCTCCATATCATCAGATGACAAGGGTCCATTTTTCCAATTCATAGTTTGACATCAGTATAGTCTACACAATTTTGTCCATTAAAGATTAACAAAACAGAGTTATGTAAAGAAGAAACCAATAAGTCTCCCAAAGCATGTGAATTATGATACATTAACCTGGATATTTTTGTTTATTTATTTACATGAAAGATCACATACCCTCTATGTAACACCCGGATTTCCAGGTATATTATTTTAATTATCTATTTTTGTGAATCATTGATCTACTCGACGAGTTGGTGCTATAACTCGTCGAGTAGAAGCGGGGTGGCCACGTAAGTTTAATGAACTACTCGATGAGTCCAAGAGTAGACTCGCCGAGTAGGCGCTGTGGGTGGAAACCCTAAATCCCCGGGCCTGTGCCCTATTTAAGGGACCTTATGGCCCTTATTTGCGGCCACCATCACCCTTGAGAGCACCAGAGCACCCGAGAGCGTTGTGAGAGAGAGAAGGAGCCGTTTTCATCATTCTAAGTGTGATTTTTGCAAGAAAGAGGGAAAGAGGGCAAGCAAGGAAGATTGAGGAGCTCAAATCTACCACCATTTGATCAGAAGAGGCTGCTAGAGGTATTAATCTGTGCTCAATCTCGTGTATTTTTGGTGATCTACTTGAATCTAGGGTTTTCTTATGCCTTCTTTAGCTTGGATTCGAAGTATGTGAGGTCCCAAGGTGGAGTTCTTCTTAGATATGGACCTTAAGATGTCCAACGAGTCCTATCTATCTTGCTTTATGCTAGTCCATTAGAGATATGAACCTAGGTTGCCATTCTAGAGGCTATTTCGCCAAAAGAAGCTTTATGGACGTTGCATGAGTGTAAAGGTCGGACCTTTACGTGATTTTTGGGTATGGTAAGGTCAGATCTATAGGTTAGAGAAACAGATCTGACCTCAGAAGGTCATTTGAGTGTTTCCATGGAAGGGACTCGCCGAGTCCATTAGTGCACTCGACGAGTCGAGTCGGGGTTGCCCCGCGATTCATGACCAGTGGTAACCGTCGAATGAAAAGTTGACTCGACGAGTCGAGTGGAGATCTTTGAGGATTCGGAAGAAGCCTGGACTCGCCGAGTCACACGAGTGTACTCGACGAGTCTGGTCAAAGTTTGACTGTTGACTTGAGTTGACTTCAGTTGACCTTAGAGTTTTGGTCAAGCTGATTCTAGAGAGAGATCTAGGAGGGGTAGAATGGTCTTTTACCCACTCCTTAGAAATGAGGACAAGAGAAAGTATTGATTAGAGATGTTATTATGTTAATAGGAGGAGGCTAGGTCGGGTTATCGAGCACGAGAGGTTATCCGACATCGTACGAGGTGAGTCTTCTCACTATACTGTACCTAGAGTGGTACCTATGTGTGACCGGAAGGTCTTATGTACTATGTGATGTATGTGTTGTATGCTGTTATATGATATGGATGTGTTATGTATGTTATGAATGCTCAGGACCAAAAGGTCATTATGATATGGACCGGAAGGTCAAGATGATATGGACCGGAAGGTCATTACGGGTAGGACCGGAAGGTCTACCAGGGTTGTGGGACAGAAGTCCTCTGAGACACAGTGACCGGAAGGTCTTATAGCCTTGAATGGCGTATGTGCGTATGTGGTATTTTGGGGAACTCACTAAGCATTTATGCTTATAGTTGTTGTGTTATGTGTTTCAGGTGCTAGCGAGGATCGCGGGAAGGCGCAGACATGATCCGTACAAACTCATGGAGTTTATGTCTTGAGATTCTGGGATATGTTTTTGTTATGATAACATTGGATACATTATGTTTGACATTATCTTATGAATAAAAGTATGTTTAAAAAAAATGAAAATTTCTTTTGGAAATTTACGTTGTTACAAGTTGGTATCAAAGCCTTGGTTTGAGGGATTCGGATGCACCTTCGGGGTGTATTTGAACTGAAACTGAGGATTTCAAAAAGTTTTTCATAAAACGGAACAATTTTTCCAAAAAAAAAGTAAAAGACTTTGTGAAAAGCAGAAAGGAGCAGTGTGTACGATCGGCCAGCGCCCGAACGGTGATTTCCCAAAATACCCTTACATTATGTGTTATGAGTTATGATATGTTACGCATGCTAGAGTAGGCTAGGTATTCATATTAGGACTAGAGTGGCCTGATTTGTGATGCCTTAGCCTAGGAAGATTTCTGCTGCTATGAGATGCTTGAGAGTGAGTAGGTAGCAGTGAAGAGCTTATGAGAGGTCTACCGAAGGGTAGCCTATGCTAGCGAGATGTAGAGTACTTGTGATCTGGGATCCTAGGAGGAGGACTTGGGGTGAATACTGATGCGGTGTGGACGGTAGTATAGGGCCTTTACTACTAAAGACACCGGATCAGTGCGCAGTCCAAGTAAGAATCCTTAGGGTACTAGGGGACAAGTAGGGTTGAGTGATCGAGTGCGAGTATGCTCGAGCGAGTCTCTAATATTTTATGTTGTATTTCAAAGACATCATGGTTGGGACACGCCACAGACCTGAGACGAGCGGCGTGAGTGACGAGGAGCTTCGTCAGATGATCCACGATGAGGTGGCTGCGGCGATCCGAGCTGAGATTCCGGAGATGTTTGGGTCTATCAAGACCACATTGATTGAGACCTTTGATGAGCGGTTCGCAACGGTTACTGCGGCTGCGGCTGCTGCAGCTAGACCTCAGGGGGTGACTCGTTGCTGTTCTGGGAGTTCAGCAACACGAAGCCACCAGAGTTTGATGGGACGCAGGATCCGATTAATGCGATGAGATGGATTTCTGATATTGAGGGATGCTTCTACACCTGCTCGTGTCCGGAGCATCTGAGGGTTCGGTTTGCACTGAACCAGCTTCGTTTGGGGCAAAGGACTGGTGGAAGTTTGTGACGGCAGACTTCACTACGGCGGAGCTTACTGCGGTGACCTGGGAGAGGTTCACCACGATGTTTCGAGATGAGTATGTTCCCCCTGTGGAGAGGGAATGTTTAGCCCAGGAGTTCTTGTCCCTCAAGCAGGGAACTGAGTCTGTGACGGTGATTACGAGGATGTTTCATGAGAGGGCGTTGTTTTGCCCTGAACACGTGTCGTCTGAGCAGGCACGTATGAGCCGGTACTTGAGCATTTTGAGGAGGGATATCAGGGAGTTCGTGGAGAACTCATCATACCGGACATTTGCTGAGCTCCAGGAAAATGCCCGGAAGAGGGAGATTGAGCTGGAGACTCAGGCCCGGGAGGAGGCCGAGTCTCAGGGGATGGACCGGCGGCCGGCACAGTCTCAGCCGGCAGCCAAGCGGACAAAGCCCGCCTAATCGAGATATGGAGGCCAGAAGGGCCGCACTTGTGGGAAGTGCGGCAAGGGACATGATGGGGGTTTGTCGATTTGGTGCTTGCTACAAATGTGGCAAGGAGGGGCACAAAGCCAAGGATTGCCCCAAGGGGTTCATGGTTTGCTTTCATTGCAACCAAACCGGACACCGGAAGGTCGAGTGTCCGCAGCTGCGGGGGACAGCACAGGGAGCACCGCAGGGATCTGCCCCTGCTGCCATACGAGCTACTGAGGTTCGGCCGGTGAAGGCCGAGGCACCGAAGGCTCGCGGGAGAGCCTTCCAGTTGACAGCGGAGGAGGTCCGCGCAGCGCCCGATGTCGTTGCTGGTATGTATTCTTTCATTTATTTATGCTGAGTTTGAGATATTGTGCTTATATTATGATATGCATAGGTACTTTTCTTGTAAATTCTGTACCTGATTTGGTGTTATTTGACTCGGGTGCGAGTCGATCATTTGTGTCTTTAGCCTTTAGTCAGCACATCAGTATTCAACATGAGGCGTTGAGTCGACCTCTACGAGTTTCCATAGCTGACGAGCGAGCGGTGTATGCTACGGATGTGATTCGAGGATGTGTACTCGAGATCTTCGGTGTGGAGTTTACGATTGATCTGGTCCCTATGGGCGATGGGGGATGTGTGTGTCATAGTGGGCATGGATTGGTTGAGCCGATTTGGGGCTGTTATAGATTGCGAGAGACAGTTGGTGACGATACGAGACCCTAGTGGGGGAGTACTTACGGTGTACGGCGAGGGTACCCGTTCTGGGTCATCATTTTGTTCGGCTGCTAGAGCAAGGCGGAGCCTACAGCAGGGCTGTAGCGGGTTTGTGGCTTATGTGATGGATTCACGGGGGGCCGCAGAGGGGCTGGGTTCGGTTAGTGATGTACCAATAGTGCGCGAGTTCCCGGATGTTTTCCCCGAGGAGTTGCCGGGTGTGCCTCCCAAGAGGCAAGTGGAGTTTCGCATCGATTTGGTTCCGGGAGCGGCGCCTATCGCCAAGGCGCCCTATCGCCTTGCGCCACCAGAGATGCAGGAGTTATCCTCACAGCTTCAGGAGCTGTTGGGGAAAGGATTTATCAGGCCGAGTAGCTCACCTTGGGGAGCGCCGATCCTTTTTGTCAAGAAAAAGGATGGTTCACACCGGATGTGCATTGATTACCGGGAGTTGAACAATTTGACGGTCAAGAACCGTTATCCACTACCGAAGATTGATGATCTGTTCGATCAGTTGCAGGGAGCATCTTGGTTCTCCAAGATAGATTTGAGGTCTGGATATCACCAGATGAGGGTGCGAGATGAGGATATCCAGAAGACGACGTTCAGGACTCGTTATGGGCATTACGAGTTCGTGGTGATGCCTTTTGGGCTCACCAACGCACCGGCAGCGTTCATGGATCTCATGAACAGGGTGTGCAGACCGATGTTGGATCGTTCGGTGATCGTGTTCATCGACGATATACTGGTGTATTCGAGATCCAGAGAGCAGCATGAGGAGCATTTGAGAGAGATCCTCGGAGTATTGAGGTCGAAGAGGCTTTACGCCAAATTCACCAAGTGCGATTTCTGGTTACGAGAGGTCCAGTTGTTGGGGCATCTCGTTAACCAGAATGGGATATTGGTCGATCCGGCCAAGATTGAGGCTGTGATGAGTTGGGAGGTGCCGAGATCCCCCACCGAGATCAGGAGTTTTCTGGGGTTGGCCGGCTACTAT